AACGCTGCGGCCGAACATGTACCGTTTTGGCCAATTTAAGAGACTCTTCAGTTTACTTCGTAGAGCTATATCATTCCCCTTGACTCTGAACGTCTTGTGCTCTAATTTAATTTTTTGGCTACCGAATTTGACTCGTGAATTCTTGAGGTTTATTATTTTTCGTTCCATTTTATACTCTAGTGCAGCCTGGTAACAGTAAGCTCACCAAACATTTTCGTATTATTCTTAAACATTCTGCCATGTAAGACTTGTATCAAACTTGTAGCAAATTAGTGAGCTGAAGCAGACTATAGTTTATTTTGGTTTACTAGTTTATGACTTGCGAAATTGAAACTCCTCAAAAGTACGGTTATCATCGTTAACAAAACCAGTGAAGTAGCTGGTTTATATTTTTAATCAACGAGCACGCGAACATTGAACGAAATTCCATAGTCTCCGCCATGCACATGCATGCCTTTTTCTAAATAGAAGTGTCCTTCTTGCAAAAGAAGTTTTTTGGCATTGTTTTCAGTGTCAAAATAGGGGATACCATTTTTGTTTTACACGTTGTGGTATAGCAATGCTTCGATGCCGTATAACCTCATGTTATTTTTATGCTCGTTTAAAATGCATTCGGAACCGTCGAGGATAATCGGCGGCGACAATACAAACGGCTATACATATGTAGTAGGCCTCGGATACGAACACAGAAAGGCTATGAAGGTATGAACATAGAAATTAATTAATTGCCATTGGTCTCAATGAAAGATTCCACATAAAGCTTATCATGCAAGAAAAAATGCTGGATAAATGTTAATGTAGTTTTCATCAATCAATGAGGGATTTGAGCTACATTCTGAAAATAATTGGAAAACAGTAGACATTCTGACAGTCATCAGTAAAGCATTCGTGTTGTTCACTATAAAGACCTATAAAACTGCCAATTTTTTACATAAGAATTTTCTGTGACGTATCTTTGTAAGTACCATAACCAAATGAACAGCAACCCAACGTAATTCTTTAACAAACTTCAAACAGTCACTTAAAGTCACTATTTTATTTCACTCACTCCTTTCCTCATTGTTGCAACGTTCTCCCGTTTGACAGGAGTTCATTATTATTTCGACCTCCCCTCTGAGCTCCAGTTCTCTATTGGGTTTTCCCAGTTTTTTGGTTGGCTAATCTAAGCTCCGGGACGGTTCTAAAGGGGTTTTTGAAAAGGTAATTCTATCTAAATTGATATTGGTTGAGAAGACCTGCCAGTAGACTAATACGCACCCACATATTCACATAATATATTTTATTTTCTGTTAACGGGTTACAATTAGCTATATGTACACATATGTCACCCAGATAATTAACTTTTATTTAAGATATCGCATTTGTAGCGCAGTTGTAATACCTGTAAAATCTTCGTGAGGCTAGTTTGAAGGGCTACGGCAGTGAATTATTTCTCTTGTAAGGATAGTTGCAGTAAACTTATCTAATTAAGATTTCCTCGTGGCATGCATTCCGAATTGCATGCCATGAATGCCAGAAGAGCTGCTTAATAGAAAGTTGCGTATTGAACACGCTTGTTCGACTATAAATCGCCTAAACAAAATTTTTCGAGTTTCACGGCCGGTACCGCCATTAAACATTCTATAAAATTAAATACTCGTGTATTGTATCAATTATCATTATTGACGGTTTTAATTTTAGAGATTATAATTCTCATAGGATTTTTTTAATAAAATTTTGGTCAATTGCTTTGGTCAACAATGCTTCCACAAACTCTTGGATTGAACACGGCGTGAATCAATACAACAACCCAGTCCCCTTATCTATTTTAAATAACTTATCGTCTAAACTGTCCTTTGAGCGCGCAATTTAATGTTTTTATGGAGGGCCAGGTGTTTAGAAGTGGAAACTTATGCGTATTAGTAACATATACACCAGTTAAGACTGTGAAGCTGACGCTATTGAAAATTTGATAACACTGAATTTGTTGAGCACGTTTGATGCTGCCTAAATAAGACAGTTATAGGTGTATACCCAAGCAATACGTTTATTCTACCAGAGATTAATTACCAGAAATGCAAGGGTTTTGCCTACCAATCAGATCCATTGATATTTTGTATCCAGCTTACCAAATATGACAACTTGTGTATATGCCAATTAAAATAATAATCCGTAACAGTTGTCCTATTCCACTGATGCCGTTGTATCCTTGCGCCCATCCTACTGGAATGTTGCAACAATAAATTCTGTAGCCTACATGAAGCAATATTCACAAACCTGATAAACATTACACACAATTTAACTTTCGGCCATAATTTTCCACTTACGGTAATTCTATCTCCCTGAATCAGTGATTCGACTTCATTTACGTCTCAGTGATCCCGTTATCTTTATCCGATTATTCTAGTACTTTATGCTGGTCAGTAGTTACTCAACTGCACTAATCCAGCAACCCTGCTCGAGTAGCCTCGTTTTTCTCTAGGAATATTCCAGTAATCTCCTAAGTTTGTCATAATTAGTCCATTCATCTCTATCGTGAAGCATTCGATTGACGTGACGTTGCCCTGCGTTGATTTTCCTTTTGTTTTAACTTACGTGGTCTGCTTATATCACACTTTCTATAGCGTGAACTCTAACTCAAGCGCACACCAACATCCTAGTGTGTCTTGTTCTAGTTAGCTGGCTCCGCCTATTTCGCCGTTTTATTGCAGTGTTTAACAATACTACAGTATTGATGGATTTGATTCACAGTCCACTCAACCTAGACCTATAATATTCGTCCGATTGCAGACTAATACTTTCACGAATATTCAGTAAGAATCCTTTCAAGATCTTATTTTGTAAATTATGTTTCCCGTTGCAATTATCTGTGTATGGAAGTCATATTTCCTTGATGCAGTCACTTTTTTGCTTTGTCTCAATAGCCTTGTTAGTTTACTTCTTCCAGTGACTATGTTGCCTAAGTAACCTTGCCTTCCTAATTGAATGCCAGAGTCACTTCTTTTTATCGTTGCACTTATGCGCTGTACTCAACAATAATTAATCCGTTGCAGTTGACCTTGTGTATCTTTTTTTTACTTGAAAGACTCATCTTTACTTCGAAGTTGTCAAGATAAGTTTAGTATGTTGATAAAATTCGAATCACTTTAGTCTTTATTACAGTTAGTTCCGTTTTCCTTTCGGAATGCTTCTGCAGTCTCAATCCCCAATTGCACATATCCTGCATATATTGCACATATATTCCACGTTTCCTAAGTTGAATTAATTTGTTCATCATCTTTCATAACCATAAATGTTACCAATTCTTAGTATTCGCAAAAATTTATCCCCAAGTTACGGAAATTCAATAATATGATTTTTCCAGGACGCGACGCCTTGGAGTTTAAAAAATTAACAATTTCTCAAATTAAGGCAAAATGAACCTAAGAATTGCGGTACGCGGCGGCCAACCGAGCTGGCAGTTCTCATTCTCAGGTTGTTCTTCTACTCAGAAACAAAATACCGACTGATTTTTTTCGTAGCCACGCACAGGCCCCTACTATCGGATATTAAACTTCTATATATTAAATGTCTAGGCACAGTTCTCAGTATCTTCAGCAATTATCAACAAATAAGTTTCCTATTCAAGTTATTTTGCTACTATGAAATCAAGAAAAAATATTGTTAGGTTCCAAGAGTATGGTGCATCATAACTAATCTGTTTATATCCCAAATTGTTAATAGCAAATTATTATAGGATGCCACTGTATTCGCACAGACACCAAAGTGGCAGGCTATTTTGAAAACTTCCATTAGCAGATAAATCTAATGCCAAGTGCTAGCAACAGGAACCCTTTAGATATAGTCATGTCAACCAAACTATGCCTACGCTCTCCTCACAAATATGTGCGCTCTAGGCGACACCAATTTCACTGTGGCTCCATTTGCTTTTTCTAACTGTGAAGCTGCCCAACGTTATGCTGGATGCACAGCTAAGCTGGTTTGCCAATATCGGAGAGCTCATAGATTAACCATATAAGGCTAGCTCTTACATCAAGGAGAACGATTTGTTTTCTTTTTTCAGATTTCGACTGAACACGACAAAAAAGAACACTATGATGTGGCTGGTCGAGCCACTAGAATTGTGTAGACGGTTTCTTCTGGAAATTCAAATAACATACTTAGAAGTTTGGTAAGCTAAAGCAAATAAAGGATGGCCCGTTTAAAGGGTAACATTTTCAAATATTAATAGCTGTGATTAATTAAATTAATACTGCGATTGGATAAAAATACTATTGAAAAAATCCTACTAAATTCATTTACCTTTAGTAGGCCAAACATAACTAGCTCATCAAAACTTTTGGTTGTGATGAGATAGTGTTGAACTCCCAACTTATGTGTATTTACGAGCACTGTTCTGCAAGAGAAAACTTGGATTATTTTGGAATACAAAGACATCCGCAAAACACAACTAAGATTATTTTCAAAATAGGGACCTTAAATTGCATATAGTCGCAATTACTGCTAGTGAGAAAACAGTGTCCTAAAAGTATCTAGAAAACTACTATTTACATATTTTTGTATATATAGTTCATATAATTTATACTCTAATGATGATTTGTAAATAAATTATTTAAGTTTCCATTTGCCACTGCACTGTAACTTTCTTTAAAAAGTCAAATCTTTATTCTAGGTATTACAGTTAACCATTTTTTTAATTCCTCAAACATAAGTAAATTGTTAAAGTTGATTGTAAGAGGTATGTGAAGCTTTCTATCGTAGCGTGCCAATTTTCTAGTTCTTTCAGTTGCGTGTCTTTACGTTGAACTAATCGTCCTGCTCCTTGAAGTGATATTCAGTATGAATGTACAAACAGAAGTTCCACTGGCAGGACAACGCTGTTGATGAGTCAGGATGCCTAATCCCATACCTATAATGCGATATACTATGGAACATATTATATTTAAATTTAAAATGTATATCCGCTTTTTAGGCAAAATAAAAGTTGGTAACCTCTGACTAAAAATCTATTAGTAACACATCTGGCTTCTGATAGGATAGCCTCTGACAAAATAACAAAGTAACAAGACAAGCATTGTTTACGTATATTTTATTTCTGGGAAAACGATCCATTACGATGAAAAACACAGTTGTATAGGAATGCTACATACATCATCGGTATTTACACATACAACGAATATAAATATCGCATTACATATTATTATACATTATGAACTGAGTGACTTAAGCAACCTTCTTGTCTTTTATTGTTTTCTCGTTGCTCCTGTAATTTTGAAACAAAAACAAAGGTGAAATAAATATTTGTCCTTTTTAGAAGTTAGCGTATGTACACAAAAGAATTCGGCAAATTGGAGTCTAACTCTGATAGCTATTGTAGTCAGCAGTATGGTGGGGGAAGGAAAGCCGTATAAAAGAAGTTGTTGGAGCTAAGGCTATATGATTTCCGAACCGTAATGTATTCCGAATGTAAATTGAAGCAATAACCAATCGTCAGGCTATATGAGCTATATACTAGATTATATTACCTATATATTTAGGCGAATTGTGCCGTTAATTATTCGATTTGTTACATAAGTCAATATGACAAATCCTTAAAGAAAATAACTGTGTTTAACCAGCAGTTCCAATTGGCACCCACCTTTCTAGTTTTTCAACAACGTCGTATTCACGAATATCATCAACCTCGCTTAGTTCTCCCGTAAGAATTTTGTAGAGAAGGATAATCATTTGTGAGAACCAGAAAACGTTCATAATTGTCAATAGAAGCAGCATTGATACGATCAGTATCGTATATTCCGGATAAAAACCTCGATCCAGAAGAACGGTCGAGCATGCGTATAAGACTTTTAGTGGAAAATAGTATAGTCGGCTGATGAACCTATAAAATGTATGACGAAAATGATATGACGAAAAGATATTCTATTGTCAGGAAGGTTTTGGCAGCTTTCATTTATGTTCTGTCATTTCTAAATTGTCGTTTAAGTGTTAGATATCATGTGAAAGCTTGTTAGTCTCTAGATTTTTTGTTCTCATCGTTTTGTCTGCATCACAAAGTTTACATCCTTAAAGACTCTGCGTTTCAGAGACCTATTTAAACGGATCCTTTGCCAGTAATGAGGGACCAACAGCTAAACATACAGTCCCGTTTAGCATACGTCGTTTCTAAAAAATTAATTACCGTAATTTTCGTCAAACCTAAAAAGTAAAAAAAATGCCGTTCTTAAATTGAAGATGTTGCTATTAAATTTAGGGAATCACTAATCATTAGCTACCCGCATAATGCTGTCTGTATGCACCGCACCACATTTATCTCGGATTGTTTTGAACAGCCCTCTTGTTTCATCAAAAACCAAATAGGGTTGTCTCAAAAATACTGTTGACATACATCTAAAAGCCCATTTTAAAACCCGAACATATGGTAAAACTTTGCGGAAAAAACAAAGTCATTTTACTATGTGTACATGGCGAAGCAGGAAATTGTATGTTACTTATGGTCATTGACAAACGATCATATCAGGCGACGAATCGGTAAACCAAAACGGTCAAGACTATCCGGACAACGCACTTTCATTCATTCTATACTATCAAATAATATGATTACTGTTGAGTTTGATAGATCATATAAATTCTCATTGAGCTTAACCCAATAGCGCTCACAATGCATCAACTTTATTATTGTTACTGCCATACAGATGGCGCTCAAGTGCCAGCCAAGGGCTAACTTAGTTATATAACATTCGAAGAGGAGAACTACGTACCATGTAATTGTCATAGAAAGAAATGAGACTGCAGCTAGTAGGTCGTTTAGTTTATGACTCTTGCCTGACCGAATCTTCAGGTAGACGTTGATCTTCGCAAACTCGAGTTCAACATCACAAAAGTCATGAAAAAGCATGACCAACGAACCGATGTTGTGACACCTAAGAAAGATACACAAAGATAGGTGTACAAATTACTCGTTATTTACATATAACCTAAAGCAACACCACTGTAAAGTTATTTGATTGATTCATGTACGGCCCTTTTGTTTTTTTTCATATTCTATCTACATTAACTCGCACATTAGTTTCCTTAACTATTTTTACCTGAATCAGTATTTATTTTCTTGGCAAGCAGTGTAACGGTATGGGATCTCCGTAAACTTTTTCTTGATTTATTTAACTTGCTTTAGAACAAAATTGAACCAACCGTTAAGGAATTGTTGCATTTCGGGTTCTGAAGGTTAAACAATAAAGTTCACATGCGTTTTGCATTAACGAACAAATAGATTTTTTGAAACATGAGAATGGAATTAACAGCAGAAGAGATTGTGTTGCTTGAGTTCACTTAAAAAAATCTTTGTGCTGTTATGTGATATGTTAGTACGGTCACTTAATGGAACCCTTACTTATGTGATTTGTATATAGAAAAGCTAACGGCCATTTCGACTCTTTCTTAATGTTTCGTATGTGTGCACCCTGTCAGTTACATCCCAAAAGTTGTTCATTCAAGAAATCAGGGCAGACATTTCAGCTTAACTAACATACAATTTAGCAGATACTCATCCGCAATATACGTAATCTATCGCCCATTTCACTGACAGCTGTTGGTTTGGCTGGCGATCCAACGTGGCGACCGAGCGATTTATAAAATAGCAGAAGATATCGTTCATAGAGTTTACCTAGAGCATCAATAAAATAAAAGAATAAGCCTTCATCTAGACCTCAGTAAGGTAGTTCAATGTCTGCAAAACTCTTATATACGTCCCTGTGCATATACCACAGATTCATTAAAATTCAATTTGCATTCAGTAAATTTAAATCGGGATGATTGAGCCGAGCTAAAGTTCTCAAATAGAAGTTACGAAAAATGAGTCCATGATTAAAATTGCCTCTAGAAAACATACTAAAACATTTTTAGCAAAGAAAAACCGCGATGCCATATGTTGGCAGGAGATGCAAAGTGGCGGATGCTCTATTTTGTATTGAATAGGACCTATTTTGAACATGACAGGGTAAAAATGAATCATTTGTCTGCTCTTTTAAGTAATACCCGATCCCATACTGGCAAATTGTACTTATTCACGGTTTATTGAATGAATGTACACCTCACGCATTTAAAGCATTTGTTTTGTGGATCTGCATAATGTTTTGTTTTTTCCGTTTGTTAATCGAAATTAAAACAGGATAGTTATTCAATTTCGGCCTGTTTTGCTTTCGATTTAGCTACCTGCAAACAAACGACATCCAAATGAGAAGAACGGTAACCACATGGTGAACAGCCATTACTGCAGAGTCCTTTCGCCAAGCGTCTTGAAAAAATAGTGCGTATAAACCATGGACATAAAACGAGCCTTGTGCTGCGTATAGCCAATAGATGTCCGAAGGAATTCCTCCAGAAGTCGAATAACCTAAATAATCAATGAAAAACGGTTAAGCTCGTAAATTAATTAGCTACTTCTAAAATATGCCCTTGAATATATAGTAATAATGTATATACAGGTGCGCAATACTTCTTTATACAAGTAAAAATATTCATCCCTAAAATGAAACGATTATACACATGTTTATTCACGCATAGTGTTAAGTAAATTGTACATAATAAGTCGCAAAACATAAAACACGGCCATCATAACATGTCATCACAATAAAAATAGCCGTGGTCGAATATATCCTTCATGCAGGCGCGCCAATACATTAAGGAAACACTTTAACAGACATGAAACATTCTGCATAGGACAGGTTCCAAAGGTTTCTCCATCATCGGCGGCTGCAGTTGTCTCCGAAGTGTAGTAGTCGGATTCCTCGTAGACAATTTGGTGAAATTCGTGAACGGCGCGTCGAACCATGGCGTGTCAGTCAGTTTTACCATTGTTTTTTAGGGGGATTGATTATTGCCTCCTCCAATAAAACATTGCATCAATATCACTAATTCTCAATTCATATTGGTAAACGGAAAGACAATGGGCTTCTGTTTATTTAAAGGCGAACCTTCGCTTCAATTCCTCAACGAGCAGCGACGTGTCACAGAGCAAATAGAATAGTCCCTCTCTTACCGAAGCATGGAGATCTAGGATACGGTACACAAAGTTTAGCTTTTCTCTCTCAATGACGCAAAATTATTGGTAGTAAGGTGACCTCATGTTAGCGATGTTCCATATGACACTTAAGGAGATACTTTTGAATTATGAAGAATCAGCACTGTTGCAAACAAGTGTCCTTTTGTTTTGATCGATCGATGTGACTGCTACTAAAGGGCTCTGCGTTCTTTGAGAGATGTGCTGACCCAAAGAACTTTGGTTGTGCATTAGCCTAATAGCTTAAGTCCAAAGTAAGTAATGCAATTAATTAACCAAATAGCGGCCCAAATAGCGTTTTTACAAAATCAATGCGAGTCTGCCGTGCGAAACGAACCGCCTCGGCAGAATTCAATCGCTACGATCTTTCACAAGTTAACATTCAAGCTTCAAGTCGTTGAAAATAGTGCTTGAAGGTAGAAAAGGCCCGTTGGGATGATATCAGCAAATGGCATATAGAGCGAGATCGTTTATGTATAGCCGGAAATTTATTAGAAAGTGATGCCGCTTGATCTCGCTGGACAGGCTGCTAATTATGACAAAAAATGCAGGATGGTGCGTTAAAAGAAGAAAAAAGAACTCTGGTAGATTGTTGTAAGGGGCGTACTTTGATTTGTTGTTTTTAGTATCAAACGAAGGCCAGTTGCTTCTAAAACAAAATAATAAACTCGTAATGGTAACAAACATTATGTGGTTTTCGGATCTGAACTGAAATCAGCCAGAATAACTTATATGGGGTTTAAATACGAGGAGCTCGAGGTAACATACTGGTGCCTCAAAAAGCTACTTTTGATGAAAAAAATGAATAACGGTTTCATAGAGAAAAACCTCAACTACCAATTGGTAAGCCCCAACGGTTGGTCTTTTCTAAGCTTTTTACGACTCTTTGCACCTTTTTGGACTTGTTGGCTATTAAAACTTTTGCATTTTCAAAGCTTTGACCTACTATAAGGCTAACATTAAATCCAATATATTGTTTTTATGTAGCTTATATGAGCTACATATTAGTGAGTTTAGACCCTCCAATATCGCTTGACGTACAGATAATAGTAAAAAGTTACGTACGCATAAAAAAGGAATATTCTGAAAATGACCAGTTTGTGGTTTATGACTCAAACTGAAGTCCTCATCGCATTGTATGGTAGTTATATTAAATAGGCATGACCGTCAGGAATAACAATTACAGCACATGCAATACAATATATATTTGAAATATATGCGCAAGATGGCGTGGAAACATCTTTCGTTATTTAGAGACAATCTTAGAAAAAAAGCATAAGAAAATTTAGATTCGCCATTCTATGTAAGCACAATGAGGCTATCATCTTGGGTAACGCTTGTAGCTTGCTAAAAGGGAACAAATTCTGCTATAGCATTATTAATAATTACATCCTTGATTTACGGTAAGCTGCTGAGAAGGACTTAAGTGTTTTAATACATTCTCATTAGAGCTAGCTTAAAAAGCGTGGCATCTTCCGGGGACCATGTGTCACACAGATCGGAAATCGACAAATATAACATACAAGTATCGGCACAGGTTACTCTAATCACACTAGGCATGTTCCAAAAAGATCCTACTGAATGCGTAGAGACAATGCCGATGCCTACAAGCAGCGCTGTTTTTCAGCCCTCAAGCTCAAGGGAGTACGAGGGGTGACTCATCAGGGGGCTGACAGCGTAAGAAGCTTGTCAAAGAGCGTCGGTTCGAATAGACTTAGATTCAGGTGCTTCCACCGAAGTCAACGATAGCAGTTATCAGCTCTGCTATTTCGAGTCCTCTACGATCAGGAAGAGTTCTTATGAAGGGAAGATACCAGTCTTGACCCAACAAGATGTCTCGTAACAGACAACCGGTAAGACCTCATGAAATTTTACGGTTTCGAGCTTCAATTGAACGGGGTTCTTTTTTTTAAGTTCTATGTGTCCAGATTTTTGACTCGGCTTACTACGCGATCCGGGCTAAATAAATCGATGACCGCTTTGCTTCCGTGATTCTCAAACGTTGACGTCCTCATGTCACTATTAATTGCGAAGCCGAAGTCATAAATGATATGAAGGAAAACTACAGTCCACAGATTGTTCCGGTGGTCCAATCGTGTCCCTTAGTCGCCGACTAACGAAGTTGGAATTCTTTGCGGTGATAGACGAACCTAGCAGGCGCGAATGTTAAAACAAGAACTTATGAGCACAACTGAGCAATTTTTAGATAAGGAAAATCTTGCCTGTCCCAACGTCTGCTTGTAGGATACAAGAACTCCGTCACTGGGCCGGGGTGCGCACTTCCTATAATCTGCTCATTTCGAAACTTGATATTACCTAGGTCTCTGGGAAAACTTGTGCACCGCAGTCTGTAGGAGCGGAACGTCGCAGAAGCTACAAATATTTTGTTCTTTTGCAGTTTCACTGTGTGATGGTAGAATTTACCAATAACTACAACAAATAGGTTAATACACCTGCCCCTTTTCATAAAATTTCTCCGTTCTGTAAGGTCGTTTTATTAAAGGAGCATTCGTCTTTTAAATTTTATTCATAACGTAGTTTATACACGGTATTCATTCATGTATGCTATATGCAATGCCGAATGCTTCACGAAAGTATGCAATGTACATTAGAAACAGTCACCTGCTCGCGTCGATATAACCAGTATTAATATTTCATGGCTTAATCGTGACTAAACAACCTTAACTGCTAAACGGGATAGATGTTTAGCAGCAATTCGACTAAATTATTTTTATTTTGTTGCAGATAGGGGGCATCCCCAACTAATGGTATCGATGAGAATGGAAAGTATAACCTGTGGATTCTATACCCGCGAATCCGATTCCTTTATCATCGATCTTACTATTAATACAACCTTCAAGTCACATGCACCAGAGTTTTTCGGCTACTACGGTAATGTTGTATTATGATAATTACAAAATCAACATAAACTTTTAAGCAGTTATATATAATTCTCAAGTAAAGCACTGTGGAGCGCGTGGATTCTACAACATGGAGCAACAATGCGTACAATTGCTGTGCAATCTACGCATTCTTCAATCGTTTTACCTTATAGTCCAGTCGTATTCTACAGCAAATAAGGTTGCTAGAAACTAGACACAAAACCAACTCACAGAAACGGTTTAGTTGCTACAGTATACCATTTGTTTAATGTTTTACGTTTGCAAACAAGATTGACCCATCACCAAAATGGTTCCATTTTCTAATTGGGCATGAATTAGTTGACATCCACTTTCTAGATCATTTTCAGAATTATATCATTTACGTCTTTTAGAATAACGCCTTTTCGTTCTGTTTGGTCATCTGAGCTTCCTACAGCCCGGTACATTAGCATTATGCCACTCCTAAATTTGTTAAGCGCTTGGAAATGTTACAACTTCGGCTTTCAGGGCCTTTTCTTTGAAAAAAAATGGGTCTCGGCCTTCGGTATTCGATTTGGAACTCAACTATCCAATCTAAGTATATGTAAGTACATCGATTATAAATCGTCTCATATTTGTCGAAGACATCAATTGACTTATAAATAAGTTTCTGATAAAGTGTTTTTCGCACTAGCTCTGATTACGGACTACTTCAATATTCGTGTAATTAGTGTTTTCTGTGGTACGCACCCTGCCAGACGGAGCTGGGGTTTTGAAAAAATCGATACTGTCCAGAGCTTACGACAACTCGAAAGGCGTAACTCCAAACAGCGCCGTAGTAAATAAGCTTCCATACGCTTTCCGGAAGTTTCGCGACACTCTCAGGCGTCAAGGCTAGGTGATGACCCAATGGCTGAAAAAACAGGATTACAAAAAGCTGCATTTATATATATATATATATATATATATATATATATATATATATATATACTTTGATCGACATATTAATATTGCTCGGCCTACGAAAATCATGAAGGATGTGAGCCGAAAATTGCTACGAAAGCCAGCCGATATTAAAATTTTGTTTTAATGTTCTAGTAGAAGCTGTACAGGCCTCTAACTAAATAGCATGAATAGTTTCAAACCTTAAAGTAAACACAGTTGAACCCTTTAAAGATCTGAAAAAATTAATTTATAGACCATACTATAGCACTTTCTTAATGCATTTTCTACGACAATCGTGATAATAATAATTTTCCACGATAATTCTACGATATCGTTTCTACGATAATTAAAATGGAGGGCTCGTCTTTGACTAAGTAAAAAATTTTCTTAGTTTAAAGTCAAAACTTCTTTGATTCTTCTCTGCTAAAGTTCATCATTTTGAAGCAGTTTTATTCTTTTTTTCTTTTTTATAAAATTCACATGCTTTATAGGAAGTGTGTATTCAATTATATACTCTTTTTCGCAAATCTGTCACTCATACTTTAAATAGAGGCTTTTCTAGGATACTTTTAGGTACCGAAGTCAAATACCGAAGACTTGTTATAGCAAATCGGAAGTTATGCTCAATAAACGCAGTTCCTTTATTGTTATACAAAAATAAAAGTTAAAATCTGTTAAAAGACAATAGACTTTTTATCTACTATATATTTACAAGCCACCTTTGCTTTCTCACACTCTCTTCTCTCTCTCCCTCTCTCTCTCTCTCTCTCTCTATATATATATATTTTGCTCATGCTTGCTATATATATAGCGAGAATGGGCAAAAAAAATTCGTCATCCTTGACATCAGAAGAAAGCTAGTTCTTCTTAAAATAAAACGGTAAGCTCATCATGGCGAAAAATTGTTGCTCTGTTCTTGTAACTTAAGCAAAGATCAATTATTATTTTATATTTTCGTGCCCCGACCAACGTTAAAAGCCTTTTTTGTCCGAAACCGACGGTTTACGTTCTTGATAGTTTTCATGCGACTTTCAAAAATCCAAGGAAGATTTCTATGAGATAAATTAGAAACCTTTTAATAAAGTTTAGATTAAGAGAGATTGAAAATTAAGAAAGATTTCAAAAAGCCATCTGTCATACATTTGAATTTTCGATATAGAAATTTACGGCCGTTTGGGAGAAGAAAATATGCTTTATTGGTTAATCTTTTTGTACTTTCCAGCCACTATGAATCCTTGCATTGTTCAGGCTTTTAGCCTGCTATCCGCCAAAAATTTAATTCCACTAAATACATTGTATGTAACCTATTTGTACGACACTTTAGCTGGTTTATACTTAAAAATATCGTTTGATGCTCGACTGATAATAAAAAGTTATTTGCGGATTCAGAAAAAAATGTTTTAAAAATGACTAGCTCTTAGTTTTGATTCAAAATCAAGGATGCGGTAAACCGTAACTATGCTTAATAAGCATAACCGCCAGGAACGACATTTCTAGTACCTGTTAAAATTTCGTTGTAATATATGTTCTTGTTTAGGTGAAATCTTTTAAACAACTCACAAGGCAAGTTTTGGATTTAGAAGAAACGCCCCATATATATATATATATATATATATATATATATATATATATATACGAATACTATAGACCTTTTCAGTTTCTCTTTGTTGAACTAAGAGTTCCAAAGAACAGTACCATATATTAATACTGATATACGTAGGCATTAAATAAACTGATATATACACATATTTTTGGTTGTGTTAGCATAAAATGCCTAGAGAGCCAGTTCGCTTGCTACGATGCTTCTGAGGAAATTTCGTTCATGCGCTGACTTTATTTTTATGATGGTTTAGTAACTGTACCTATATCCCAAATAATCTCTTGTAATAACTGTAAGCGAGTCAACACAATAATGTCACGTGGTAATACTATAGCTGAAACGCGTTACGACGCATTTTTCAACGGGAACTTAAGAATTCACAGAGGCCAACCATTTAGAGATATCATTCGTTAAATTATAGTTTTAAATGTTATTCACTGATATTAAAACCGTAAAGGTAACATTATAAGGATATCTTTTAGTTATAATGATAACTATTATAATATTTTCTTGCAAGCATCAGAGACGCAATAAGGATTTGAGTATTAAAGGTCAAAAAATATTATCTGGTGGTCGTTTCAAGTGTGGCATACCATATAAGGTTTTATAAGACATCACAGAAAATCTAAGAAAGGGCCCTCATATGGAAGATAATAACGATTAAGTTGATGGTCATCTATGACAAGTTCACATGTGAAGTCTTAACCACAAACAGGTTTTTTCAATTAAGAGCTGTGCTCGGTTTATAAAATTGGTTTACTATTAAGAATATCTACAACTTTTATATTAAACAACTTTATTTGTAGATCGCCTTTTTCAAAATATCCGAGAAATACGCGACCAACTTTAAATATTAATATGGTCTCAACTGTGCATTTGCGATACCTACCTTGATCATTCGGTACTACTATACTTAACAAAAATAATCAGACTAATCGGCGTGTTCACATTAGAAAACTTTGTTTGTTCCTTTCTTCACTTTTCCTAAGTAAGCGCAATGATGTGTTTTCTAAACCAAATTTCTAAATCTCTGGGGGGTTAGAATGTGCTGATTTCAGCAACGGAAATATTTATTAACCGCCTGCTGCTAGAACATCCGTCTGGGGGTGTGTGTACTGGCACAACACTTCGCTACAACAAAAACCGAGAATCAATGTAGTTTGGTCTCACTGCAACTGTATGGTACCCGATTCGAATAATTCCCGTGGCCGGTCATATATGTGTGTAATATACATGAATTAGGTGTTAATATTATATTACATACAGTGTTAAAGGATATTTCGTTCTGATATGTTTATCGTCGAAAAGGATGTTCCTATTTTATTATCTAGAAACCAAAAATTTATTGGAGACTAGCTATCTGAAAATAAAAAAAATTATTACGCCTGCACGTTATTGGTGCCAAGGAAACTATGCTTCCCATTTTCTTATCACCTTTCAAATCCGAATACATACGTTTGTTGGAAAGCTTTCTTTTTTGATTTAATGGAATGGAATCTTTATGCGCTTTATAACGCTCGCGTAATAAGAATGAGGTTGTCGTCAAACGTGTATGAAATGCAATAAAATACTAAGTAGAATACTTCACCTAATTATTAATCTTTAGCTACGGTGATTATAAGAAGATACAGAAAAATTTTAAGTAAATCGCAACATTTTTTAAATTTTGCATTGATTATACTGGCACTATGTCATTATATCGATTCTTATACATATGAAAAGTCAACGTTTTGAATGAATGATGAAGCTTAGAAAAAATGCAGTATTTGCGAGTGAACAAATAAAAAATTTTTGAGTCACAACGTGTTTGAATTATGAGTTAAAATATGAGGTAAAATATAAAAGAATTTAGTCAGTGTGTCACTACTATACTTAAGCATATGAATCATTAAGTGGCTGAATTTAAAAAAATATTACAACGATCTCACTCAAAAAGCGTTACGACGTTTTCCCCATTATACGGCTGTTACATCTTTAGTTAATTTTGCACAACTGTTTTAATAAAGGTAGTAGACAAAATGACAATTTACATCCAAGTAGAAAAGAACCGCAGTACTTACAATAAGGCAGAATTTTGTCAGGACCGATCGTAGAAGAGTAAAACCGACAGCTAGGCCTATCACCAACAAAATATCTTGCCGCGTGAAGTTAAATAATACGGTTAAGTCCTCGGATATATCCATTGGAAAGCGGTACGGCCGTTCCTTGTACCTGAAGAAGTTTCAATAGTAAGTCGTAAAGAGCACGTCGCTAGTTTTTATCCGCTAATATCGTTCAATATCTGTTCGTTTACTTTACGCATTACAGGCGAAACGGAGAAAAAGCAGATTTACAGTTCTGAGAGAAGTAGGCTTATGACAGTGTGAAAAAGTGGATTACAGATTGCCCCAGGTACAGATAAAAAGTGCGCTGTACAGTTTAAGCCAAGGCAAAAAATGTAAATCAATAGTCCCTTGTTAGCATACGACGTATACAGATAGAGATTATTAGATAGAATGAATTTATTAAAGTGCATACAGTGATTAATCATGTGCGTAATCAGTAAATAATGCAGAGTTATTTCAACTCTGTTGTTGACCTATCAGTGCGGTCCCATGCGGTCGCTTTGTTGCAAAAAGTCTGGGTTAAAGTGCACAACAATTTGTGCTACCGTTTCCGACCGTCATATCATATATAGCAGCTCATATACTTAATTTGATTTGCTAGCACACAACATGTGACTTTTCAGATACATCATCTATATTTTACTTATAATGTGTTGTCACTAAAGATACACTTACTCTAACGATGATATAGTGAACATTGGACACTCATTTTTGTGAGTGAAAACTGCAGTCTAGTGAGCTTCTCTGTTGTCAGATTTCGAAGAAGAAGGGCTGATACATATAACTAGAGAAAATATAATGAATTATAAAAGGCAGAAATCCATTTCGAAGAACTATCACAAATTATTGAAGTACTTGTACTTAGATCTGCACCCGCAACTAGGCAGCTAGAGAAGCATTTAACTATTTCAGTTTTTGTGGCTTATGTGAGTAATGCGTACAAAGCAATCAGCCACGCAAATGAGATTTAAAAATATGTAGCTGCAGAGCTGATAACTATAAAGTCGTTTTGAGACCTGAAACCTTTAATAACTGCTCATTTTTGCCTCTAAATAAATAGATGCTTAAGAAATTACTTGAAGAATATTCTGCATTTTCTTATATTATATTCAGTCAAAACCATATACCTAATACAAGATATTAGTAATGATGATCTACTTCCTAGATTTTTTTTATCATAGAAGCAATGAGCATCCAATCGAAAAATAGTATTAAACTAAACAGCTTGTTAGGAGACATAACGATTAAACTGCTGAAGCTGTAGCAAATGACGAGCAGAGAAAAGATAGGTATGGTTTACATAAAGTAGTTAATTCGAATAAAAAGGCCACCGGGTTGCTCATTCACTCTCAGGCAACTGTGCAAAGTCAGGAGATTCACCTCATTTGTAGCATATGTGACGAGGTAGACAAGACAATTAAAAATGTTATGCTGAGATGCATAATATAAGGTCTATGAGACCTAGATCTGAACTTTTTTAACGAGAGGCTTATGTTAACTCAGATCGATAGTCTACAGCATCGCGAACGGGCTTCAGAAGAAGTAGAAACAGCTTCTAGCATCATTCAACGAAAGGTCCACCACAGACAAGCAATAAGGACTTCTCAAAAATGTACTTCTGATAATTGTTCTGCTTCCATCAATTCGTTAGCGAGGTTACGATGTCGCGGATTGTTAACGAAGATACCAAACACGCGTCACATGTTACGGAGGTCAAACTGAGGCCAATAAAATAAAGAAATCTAATCGGTGCCATTCGTTCCTCAATATTCTTAAGAAAACACAGCAAGGTTTCTTCAATTTATTTCTTTCGTTTTCTTCAATTTATCCTTAAAAAATTAACCGCAGAAACTGCCGTGATTTATTCAAGGTACAGGGGATGTGTCCGATGTGAGTAAAGTAATTTTCCGAAAGGAGTCCAAGTTGTAAATGTGGTGTCTAGTAAAAGATACGTTATGCCATCATATTTTTTCCAAAAAAACATTTAAAATGAGCCTGAGAGTGGCTTATGTCTCTAATAGAAGCCATAATTTCTACAAATGATAGGCATGTCGAGTAAACACAACTATCAGGAACGACACGTTTAGTTGATGCAGAACGTTGAAATATCTGTTTTTGTTTAGATAGTTCTAGAAACAAGGCACAGGACAAGCCCCGGATTTATTAAAATAGTATTTGAAAGCGATTATTTGTACTTACGACGATATTTCTAATGTTAAGTGATTTCTGTAATAAATAATACACTGGCGACTGTTGTTGACGTTTACAAAAGGTTGAAGTACTAGATGAAATAACTCGCAGTATTTTTACATAATTCATAGACTGTACACTTCGTCAAAACTACAAGCTGGGGACGCTTTGATGGAGCAAAAAAGTTAGAGCAAAGATCTTTTAGAGAAATCCTTACTTTAAATTAAAAAAATTTGGTAAAAGTGTATTAATCACTTACCTTACAATTGTTTTTTTGTAGAGTTGGAGCATATCTGTGGCCAAAGCCGTGTATGTAGGCATAGCTTCCCAGTCTCCATTTCCGAAGGTTGATTCACTAGAGTTATCCACCATTGTCGGTCTCTGTTGTAGTGCTTTCACTCAGTGTTGCTACGTGGAAGTGGTTACAATTCGACTGGGTAAACTGTGAAAAAAATGTTTAAGCAGACACTGGTTTTTATGCTTGTTGAAGTTAGGTCTAATTAGTTCGCGGATTTCTAAAAATGTTTTGCACTATCCACAGCTGTCCTTCTATATATGAGGAGCTGATCTGAAGTTATTCATGCTCTTGTCATTAGATTTAATTACCACGATATGAATAATTCACCCCAGGAGATTTTCAGTTTACACAATACGTTAAAAGTGACCATTTCACTCATGTCTCTTTCCAAAGGGGAAATGTTAATTGATTACTGAATTAATATGAAACGACGCAAGGTATTTTGTTATACTTTAACTAATATACTTAGCGATAAGACCCAAAGCTTTAATACCCAAAATCCACTCTCTTTTGCTTCACTTTTATTAAATGGTTTTCATAAACGTGACACTTTCTTTTTGTAATATTTATAATGATATATATATATATATATATATATGATATAATGATAACAAATGTGTAATTATAATGGCAGTAAAAAAATTACAAAATCTTCTTTTTTTTTTTGTAGATGGTTTGCTCTTAAAAATTAGGGTTCATAGAAGTACATGCGGTATTTAACAAATAAATTACACGCGCGAGACAGAACTTGGCAACTATTTTTAAATGATTGCTTTCGAACTTTTGCATAGTCTCCTTTGGGCCACACCAAAGAGAATCTTTACCCGCCCTGTGTTATATTTATTTACTGTTCCAATTATTTTATTTTATCTTCAATTAAACATAACTCCTCGCGTAAGGATGCGAATCCTTAAGTAATTCTTTGGAGAAAATAATACGTACCGGCCTAGCGTTTCTCTGTTCTACAGGATTTTGTACATTCCGTGTACATACAAATAGAAACGACTCTTTGCTGAAGAATAACCATCTCAACAGTAATTTCACTATGCCAAATATATAGAAACATCTAGGTCTTTTTCCCTAAGAATGCTACAAAACTATCTGTATTTTAGGCGTAAAAAACAAAATCGTATCAAATTTACAAAACCAATACTTTCTTTCTACAAACGAGAAAAATAAAACGTGCAATTTGTTACTAGAGCTCAATAATTCTAGAGGCATCAAAAATATGTTAGAGTGATGCAATGCGTGTTAGAACGTTCCAAATTTTATTATCGGAAGAATATAAGTATAGACATCCCATGCCAGGCAACAACTGGTAGCGTTAAGGGATATATAGCGATGAATTGATTATTAATTTAAGACAGAATATATGGAATTACTGCCTGCATTCGCTCTAATATTTCACAATGGTCAGCAAAGCTTAGTTAAGCAATGTTAACTTCACTAAACTTAGTTGGCAAAATCTAAGGTTAAAATTTCGAATACAACAAACACTAAGGTATAAAGAATTTAATTCAAGTCAAGCATACAACTCATTAAAAGAATCGACCAATCTAGGAGTATTTTAGCTTCTAATCCGCGGGAGCACACAAGGAAAGCCGATTTTATTGGCGACTTGGACTATCAACTTCTTAATATTGCAGAAACAAAGTTGCTCAAAAAGAGTGCCACAGTCGATGGAAACGGGACTGAATTTATCAACTGAAAAACCTGTCCTTATGTTACACATACTTCCGTCCATATTCAGCAGTCAGCTAGGCTCCATCAGTAGCATTTTGTTTGGGTGAAGCTGTCATGTGTATTTATCCACGACAATGGAGGCCCACGAAAGCTGCATCCCGATACCAACAGTGTTTGCTCTCTTACTGTGTATCCCCAATTGCTATAGGAAAGGAAATATATGATATAAAAGGCAACTATGACACTAAACGCCGTGCTATTGAATCCAATATCATTTTCCAAATATACTGTTGCACAATGTTTGTAACAGACTGAAGCTAATTTCGTTCAATGGTTAATAAATCTCATAAATTCGCGAATATACATAAACTTTTGACTAAGATAAACAGTTGATATCGAAACGCCACAGCACGTTACGAAAAGGTGAGTTAAGGACTGTTTAGAAGAAGTACTCAAACAAGAATCAATAAAACGCACAGAGCATGAGAAACTCACCCGTTATATGTCGGATAACTTCTTCTGTAACAATGTTCGAGTGATCAAAAGTAATCTTGTTTGATTGTATTGCTTGTTTATTATAGTAAGATATCTGCCCCACTCAGCAAAACTGTTCCTAGCAAGCTTCTGCCCTGTGGAGCATCGGTAACTGGCTATGTTTAGCCGGCGAGCAAATTGATGCTGTTGTAACACCGAATAGTGGTGAGGTGGATGAGAGCTCCTTCTGATTCTGGGCTGCTGTCCGTTTATCCACTTTGTTGCTTCTCTGGTTGCTGCGTCGTCTCCGCGCCCACTTGGGCATCAGAAGTAAGGACAGCAGCTACGGTCACGAATACACGAAACACAGGGTTGCTTCTGCTGGGCTTCAGCTTGTCTAGCGTAAACGAAACGTCTGCGCTGGCCGTCGTTGTCTGACTTTTCAGCAGGATTGGGTTGTTAGCTTTGAACACACACGGACAAGAGCAGACCGCTAACCTGATTCGGCTCATATAGGGAGTCGACCGCAGCTTCTGCAACGATAGTTTCGGGTTTTCTCCTCGACAACTAGTAGTGTGATGGCCATACGACGACGATTGCCGCCGTCAGTTGCTGCTACCGTCAATACAGTATCACTATCAAAAAAATTGGAGAAGCGTCGTATAGACACTGCCAAGAGTTCGGTAACGCGCACTATCCTCTTTCTATTTCAAAACTTTGCCACTAGAAATCACAAAACCCGACAATCAACAGCTATTGCCCAAGTGCAGCAGACGTTGGTAATAGCAAAAGACTCACCGTGTAAAATGTGCCTCCGATTCGATTTCGTGTAACGTACTGGAAGGGGGGCATATGAGCGACAGATCGCAAACAGTCGATCGAGACAAAAAAAAATGTTACGCAATTTTTCATTAGTTTTTTAAACTCTTTTTCAAATAAGAGGGATAGTTCCGAGGAATAGCTACCACAAAAGTGAGCAACAAGATACCAAGTGCTACGTGCCAGTACGTGCTGGCTATAGCTGGAGAGAAGTGTCAGTGAAGTACCAACCTATCATCACAAAATATGTTAGAGCAACAAAGTGCAGATAGCCAGCACGTCGTTTTAAGGTAGTAAGGGGAAGGGTAGAAATCAGGCTTTAAATTATTACGTGGAATATGCATTGCGTGCGTTAAAGGCTGCAAAAAATCTTACTTCAACACCAGTAGCAGACACAGCAGCAACGGCACGGGAGGCGAATAGTTGTTATTTGGAACACTTTTAAGCACATCTAACAAAATTTTAGTAGATTAGTCGACGGACAACATATGTTAATAGTCCACTACTACGTCTAAAGCACGAAATTGACACGGAGAGCGAATTTCATCAAATACCCGTCATGGAAACATTTTAGTCCGAAAGTATAGCTATATATAAACATAAATAATAACGTTAGTCAAATATTACTTACTAAAATGTTAAATGTTGAAGAAGAGGAATTGAACACCACGTTACTGTTTCGAGAAATCATTCCCAAAACAAGCTGTTTATGAAGACTAACGCACAATATAATTTATAGTCTCTGATTACATATTCAGGGCACATTTTACTAAAAATTAGAGTGGAAAAGTCATCTTTACTTAATTCTAACACTTTAATAGAAACGGAAAGTTTGCGTTCGATATTTGCATAATAAACATATTGTTCTGAATTAAAAGTTGCTAAAATTATCGTTCATTAAATTTTTTTCTTCTGAGTACAGCTCAAAACTACTGATTATTGTTTGAATTACACTTATTATTTTTTAATAATTACTGTGTACACCAATGCAAACGTATTACAATGAACGATACTAAGAATGAAATTAAGGTATGAGTGGTACTGAGAACATAAAATGTTTGTTCCAAATACGCTTATACGTATTTCAAGGATTACTTTTAGTAAGTCAAGGATAAGATCTTTGAAGTCACACCTCAACAAGATTCTGATAACGGCTGAGCTTTCCAAGACTTTTAGAGACATTAAAAAGTATTGAAACATCTAGGTTGATGTACTTCTTGATACCGTAATACTTAGCTTAAACGGCTGTTGTATTTAGAATGCAATGAATAAATTTTTATTCTTAGCTACTACTTCGTGTGCATTTCACCTATATTGCCCGGCGAAACGATGACAATCCCTTGGAAAATCTGCCTTAAATTATGACGATAAGCCGTGCATGACCCGAACCATGTTTCTCTAACACAGGTAGGACCGTATAAAAACAATAATAATAATAGCTAATGCAAGTAAAAGACGGTAACTTGGAACGAGTAAAGTTACGATCGAAAAAAATAAATCCTATTCTTCTATTTACTCTCTCTTTATCTGCTCTTTATCATATACTGTGAGTCTATAAAGTGTCATTCCATTGAGATATTTTGTTTCCAATAGAAAAGAAAAAATATTGGCTATCTAGACATCAAATCGAAGTGGCGTTAGCATGTTTGCACGACGACAGCTATTAAAAACGGAAAACGAGACCAGCTAGCCTTATGTAAAATATGCACAATTCTTTATATCTGTTATTTGAAGTTACTACAATATTTATGCTTACGTATTCAATGCTATTTTCTTCACGATGACACTGTGCATCGACGAAGAACAGGAATCCCATTACTCAGGAAAAAGAATTTGCGTGAAGCCTACGATCTCTGTGCACAGAGATTTGAAAAGAGCTGCTGTATTACATTTGCTTCTCTAAGGGAACTTTTACTTTTTAGGGGAATTAATTCCCCAAATGAAAATAAAACACCACTTCTTGCGTTCCACTGCATTCTACTTTTGATTTAATTATTAAAAATGTCTTAGGTACTAATTTTAGAATAATTTATCAATTACCTCGTCAATAATAGCTATCAAAGGTGCTTTCTTTCTGCGTTTTTTGAGTAGGCCAACAATAGCGTTACTCGTTAACAAAGGTTGCTACACGAACATCGGTGCATTTAATGATCAGAATTTGTGTGCCAAATTAATTAAATAGAGCCTTAATTTTGATTTCTGTAATATTGGGTTTTAATTTGTTTTTCACTGCTACCCTGAAGAGACAATTCGTTAGACTAATGACTCTGTATATATTTAGGCCGTCCACTTCTGCAAGACAGCCCAAACGGAACTGAGTAAAATTAATTTTGCCTTTTGATTCGCTAGATCATCTCAAAGCTGACTGGTTCGACCTGTTGTTGTGGTTGCTCGTTCACTGATTATTATTTCTTTCAAAGAACGGACTCACGCTTAACCATAGTTAGAACTGAGTGGTTTCAATTTTATTGTTCTTGAAAAAGTCACCATAACTAAAAAATAATTAATATACTTTTGATTTAGGTTTGTGTTATTTAAATAACACGTACATATGCATGTGAGAAAGTAACTGTGTAATTGTAGATTATTGAGAGAAAGCCGTTATAGTGCGCAGGCTGCTCGAGAGTACATACCATTAACGGTTCTTTCCAGCTACAGCCTTTCTGGCTGAAAGGATTCTGCATGACTTGCTTTGAAAAACAGGTTTGTGCTACTTTGGCTTGACTCAGTAATAACAGGTGGTTTTCAAAATCAGCGAGCGTGGTTGGCTCTAAAGTGTCTAGATAAAAAGAATGAAACACTTTACAAATTAAATCGTAGGCGATATTTCACTAACAGAAGAAAACAGTTTAAAAACGTTCCGGACGCCGTGGAAATTTTGGGTAAAATACAGTAGTGTTTTGTCAACAAGCTTTTGTCATAAATTAAACTGCCAAATACCAAACATTATTTAACACATTTTTTTAAAATACACATCAGGTTAGAATAAAAATTTCGTTTTTTCGCCCTAGAGAAAAACTCAGCATTTTACTTAAATTTTGGTAAAAATGAATTTATATTGTATTAATCGTGGCTTTTTATGGCCATTTTTCACTTTTCTTATTTCACGTTGTCAGAAATTTTTAGGTCTGTTATTGAAGGACTTATCCAGCCGGTTTTTAAAATTGTCTTTAATGTCAATTATATGCCACAAATTTCATCCACCGGCAATCGGATAAGCTAGAAATATATTGGCGCAAGGTATAAAGAATGTCGTAGACTTGCAGGCTGTAGCTACTTTTGCCATATGCGATCTGGCATTGTTTAAGGAAGTATGATTTTATTTAGACTGTCGGTTGTCTTCCGTAGAATAGATTTATCAATCGATGCGTGTGGGCCATATATAGGTAATTCGTTTCAGGCCACCTAGTTTTTCTCCTGAATCTTCTAGTGTATAAGATATTTAAAGTCTGAATCGAACGGGAATTAAGGTTTTTTTATGATAGAGATTTAACTTGGCCTTAAGCTTAGGCTCATTTCCAAGGCTATTTATTCCTTTTCTGCTTCGTACGAATGTAGAAATACCACATCTTATCGCTGGCAACGATACTGCGCAGAAAGCTTTCCTTGCAGCCGCAGGTTATCAAGAATTAGTGAAGATGCTGACAGACAACGAAAAGCCGTATTTTCCTGTGCTCTTCGCTATGTTAAAATACCCAGACCTTAATTTTTAAAGGAGTTCCATAGATACAAAGAGCCTGGCAGATCCTTTTCGGCCAGTTCAAAGTTTGTTTTGCTAGTCGCTTTTCTTCAAGTAACTGTAGGCAATATTCATGGATTTCAGATGGGCAACCCAAAAGTGATGCATCCTTTACTTTTAAGATAACAATATTTAACTTCGCAAATCATTGCAAAGTACGAGCTCCACAGTGTATTGCTTTTGTAGCTTGTTTATAGCGGCAGAAGGCGAAACAACATAAAAGTACTTTTTCGCCAGGAATATTCGTTTTCGGAACCTTAACTCATGGCTTAAACAAAATTTTTAAATGGTATTTAAAACCCAACGAAAAGAAGAGGAAAAATGCGGTCTTTTGAAAAACTGCCATTACTTATGTTTCAACTTGAACATATATACGGACGACTATTGCAAACCGCTCTCCAAGATTGCTTTACCTGTAATTGATAGGTATCGATAGTACCGCCGACGCTGAATTTAACTTTACTGTGCTAAATTCGATCACTGGCCGGTAAATTGCATGGAGAATAGGGAGAAGATGTCCACATATCATAAATGTAGTAAAAAAGGCTATCAATACAGTGTCTGCGCAAACTGAACATTGCCTTCCCTGCAACACGAACAGGCACCAACAACTTAATATCTTCTATCCATAGGGCTGCATCGCTTTGTAAAGAGATTAGGCCGCTAAAATATCCTAATTTTTTTTTACCGGTAAACTTTGACAGATTAAAAGTGGTCCAGAATTTAGCAACCGATAAGATCAGTGTCATTTCAGAACCCAATAAATGTTCTGCTCAAAGTAAGTGCTCGTAGTATTCTAATCGAAACACTGATAGCGGTGTAGTAGTACTTGACTCTAGAATAGTAATCGCCGATAGCAGAAATAGGCAAAGGGTGGCATATGTTAGAACTAAAGATTCTCTCATGGTTGGCATATAGACCTAAATATAAACCTAGTTAATTATGAGAACTAATGACGACACTGTCAAACGGCACCTGGCATCGTAAATTACAAAAAAACAATTCTAGGTAGGTATAATTAATACTGATGCCGTCCTCTGATAAGTCGTCAAAATAACCCGAAAGGAGAAACTTTTGAGTATTGGGTGGCAACGAATGAATTGTTTGCCCGACGTAACGCACTGCAAACATTTACTCGGGAGCGTAGCTACGTCTACTGGTTTGACCCTTGCGTCCCCTTAGATAACTACCCGTGTGGAAGATCGGCGAGTCAAAGAGAGAATACGGAAATGTCAGATCATTCCTCAATAGCATACGCATTAAAGATCAATGCAAGAAACAACAAACAGGACAAGAAACAAGTAGGACAAACTCACAAAAACGCTTTTAGCCCTACGCCCTGAAAAATTATAAAGAATGCATTGGAGAAAAACAGGTGGCGCAATCCTTGCGAAGAGTTATCACGAGTTATCTCAGCGAGGTTTGCGGTGGTGAAACATTTCAAATATTGACAGGAGCTTCCTAAGGGTTGCTCTTGGACCCTTTTCTTTTGAACATAAAATATGGTAAAATTCTCGAAAGGGACTATCCCACTACGATCAAAATCGTTGCCTTTGCTGACGACTTGCTGGCACTGGTTGTAGGAAAGAACAGTAGAGGCTAACAGGCTCTTAGAAATAACGCATGCGATGTAGTGGAATCATGAATCGATGAGTACATACTCAAACTAGCGCCGGAGAAAACAGAGTTAGCGATCCTAATAGGCAGAAAGCAGATGAGTACGACTAATATTAAATTACGTGGCCACATCACTTAGTCGAGGAATAAAACTCGGAACGGTGATCAACTGCATGCTAAATGCTGGAGCTTATGTAGACTATGCTGCGACCAGGGCCATTAAAACTACAAACAACCTGGGGAGATTAATACCAAACGTAATCGAACCTAAGGATGGATCACGAAAAATCCTTGCGTACGTGGCAGACTCGATCGCTTTATGAAGAACCGCTACTTGGAACGAACATCTGATAAGGAAAAAGTTCAGCAAGCAAAAAAGGACACGGACACAAATTGCCACTGAGGCAAACAGAACTTTTACTATCCCTTACGATACTGTTACAGTGATAGGAAGACGAATATCCTAAGTTTCGCAAATCGAAAATAGAATCCAAAAATTTCTTAACCAAAGAACGAAAAAGTCGGAACTAAAAAATCAATGTTGGCGAAATGGTAGGAGACGTAGCAGCCGCCACGGGTGGGTGCAGTAGAAATTACAAGGAAATTTACCAAGAATGTCGGTAAGTGAGATACGTGAACACACGGATAGCTTACTTTCTATTTTCCTATTCTACAAATTATTCTACTAGACTAGAATAAACACAGCTGAAAGCGGTGTTTGAGTTCATTCAGATTCAGGCGACCTGGATGACGTAGACCACACTTTTCAAGAGGATGTAGCGTCAGGGTCTGAGAGGAGAAAACTTTAAATGGAACTGGAGTACTTACTAGACGTAAAACAATCGATTCCAAAGTTGCTGAAGCCAAAACAAAAGTGGAGTAAAATGAGTAAGTTTTTAAAACGTATTTTTAAAGGAAGGGCACCTCGAGGCCTAAGGCTTGCTGAGGCTAAGCTCTTTTTCGTCTCTAGTCTATTTTTCTTCTTTTCTATCTATAACAAAAGACTGCATTGGGTCTGATGCTTAACCCGTTTTGGTTTTCTGGCTCCTAAAGCAGTCATGCTATCTCTGTTTTTACTTTTCAAAAAGGCTAGAATGGAACGTTTTTAGTGGATAACAAGTCGAGTCTCACCACGAAACTAATACAATAGGCTGCAGAAAAGGTCGAGTCTTATATTACCCACTTTCAAACCAATAAAAATAATTCTGTTTCGATGCTTATTATAATATTTCAGGGAGTATCCTCTTTTTAATTGAATATAGAGCTCAGTAAACTCTGAGTGAACTCTGATGATAGCTCTGATTTGTTAGTTTATTATCTTCTCTTAACCTATTAACGCACTCAGATATTGCTGTTCACCTTTTTTAACCTAGAGGCATATAGTTCAGCAAGGCGTGGACCTTAATTAGGCGTCCTAGTTTTGTTCGAACTTTTACTCTTTGCCCAAGAAGAAAGTACTGCTTTAATAAGTTAATCACATCGTCGTAAGCGCCAGCGT